AGCGGGATAGAGAGAGAGAGAGAGAGAGAGAGAGAGAGAGAGAGAGAGTTGCCACAAAGAAGAGGGAGTCAAACTATTCTCCAAGGCACCTGAGGGTAGAACAAGAAGCAATGGAATCAATGGAACAGCTTGCCTCCAGAAGTTGTGAATGCCCCGACACTAGAAGTCTTTAAAAAGATGTTGGACAGCCATTTGTCTGGAACGGTATAGGGTTTCCTGCCTAGACAGGGGGTTGGACTAGAAGACCTCCAAGGTCCCTTCCAACTCTGCTATTGTATTATATTGTATTTTATATACTTGGACCATAAGAAAAAGTTTCTGGGTTATTAGAAATAAAGCAACACTTAATTCTGAATTAGTCATGTCCATTAAGATAACCAGAACTACTGAAAAGATCAATTTCCAGAAAGTTTATTCTGTATAAATCAGTGGTGGGTTGCTCTTACTATCAATACCGGTACGCTGATAACATGCTCGTGCATTCTGTTCGCGCACGTGCCTGACTTGCACTGTGTGCGCATGCTCAATCCACCGCTCCTGCGACAACCGGCTGCTTGTTGGGGTTCGCGCAGGCACCGTATGCTGTGCACACGTGCACACTTTACCGTGTGCCATAAAAACAGGTATGGAGCATGGACGGGCAGGTGGGCCAAACAAGCCACTGTGAACCGGTATGCTCTCCTGGCCACTACCGGTACAGCCGTACCGGGCCGTACCCACAGCAACCCACCTCTGGTATAAACTACATATATTAGTCCTTAGAGTATTTTTATTTTTAGTTGTTTGATGTACAATAGGTTTTTGTATGCTGATAGAAAAATAAACCTTGATCTTCCATTGGTTGATCCTTAAAAAAAAAGAAAAGAAAGCAACGTTCTCCACTAGGTGGAAGTTGAGTGAACACAAACAAACCCACTTCAGTCCTTCCTGTTGAATGTAGAGATCTGATGGGATTGGGACATGGGGGTAGGGGGTAGGATTTGCATGAGCATCCCTGGGTCCTCTTTCTCCTCCCTTTCAGTCCTAACATAGGGTATGTGGTTTTTCTGCAGTGACCTAACATAGGTGTCTTTGCAAAATCGAATCCCATCTATATGTCATTACATCATCTAATTACAGCAGATAACTTCCTAATTTTGTTCACCTTTTATTTATTTATTTCAAAGATATTGGCACTATAATGAGAGTTGTAGAATTGTCACCACTGAAAGGATCTGTCTCATGGACCGGGAAACCAGTTTCTTACTACCTGCATACTATTGATCGAACCATAGTGAGTATTGCACTAATGCCAATCAACTTCCTAGTCCAATTCAAGATGTTGGTTATTATCTATAAAGCCCTACCTGGCATTGTACCGTATTGTTTGAAGCAACGGTCACCAACTGGTGGTCCGCAATAAAATTTTGGTGGTAGAAAAATGATTTGCATTTTTTATATTGCACTAAATCAGGGGTCCTCAAACTACGGCCCCTTGGCCGGATACGTGCAATGAACACTTGTGTTGCTGCAGAGAGTTTCCCCCTTCAGGGTCTTTTTGTGCAGCTGGAGGGGGCAGAAATTCTGACTTCGGGTCTGCTTCAGCCTCCTGGTGCGAGGCTTTGGGCGAAGGCTGGAGGGAAGTGCTGCTGACGACGAAGAGCCAGAGAGCCTCGTTCAAGTGGGACTGCATCATGGTCTGGAACTGGCTGACCATCTCAGTCTGCTGAGCCTCCAGGCGCCGGTACCTCGCCTTGCACTCCTGCAGGTCTTTTCTCTGCTTGGAAAGCCTATGCTCATAGTCCTTAGTAAGGTGCTTCTACTGAGCCTCCTTCTCGGTCAGTTCCAATTTGAACTGAGCCAGTGGTTTTGTCTTTCTTGTGGTGGCTGCTTAGCTCCAATAGGCTGCTTCCTATTGGGGCCCTAAGGAACCCCGGAGAGTGAGGAATAGCTGGGAGGGGAAGGGCGAGTAGAGGCCAGCGAAGTGCCCCTCAATGTGAGTGACATCAAGTTGGCCATGCCCACCCAGTCACATGACCACCTAGCCACACCCACACAGCCAGTCATTAGGCAGTTCATATTAGTGGTCTGCGGGATTTAAAATTATGAATTTAGTGGTCCCTGAGGTCCAAAAGATTGGGGACCCCTGGTTTGAAGGACCAGCTACAGTATCACTGGTATTTTCCAGCAGTACAGGTGCCATGGCAGGTTTTGTTTTGTAAAGTAATTACCATGGCATCCCAAGGGAATAAAAGATGTCATAATTTATATTCCTAGGAGGCCAAGTATCTTTTCAAAAGAACCCTTTGCCTAATTACACCTGATTGGCTCAGTATGAATTTTTAATGTTGTTTCCTTGTAAGTTTATTCTTTGGAAAGCTGGAAAAATATGTATGGGAGGTTTTTAATTTCTAAGTACATTGTCTACTATTTTCTATCTCTTTGTGAAATGCATTATAAACCTCTTAAATGTTTCTTCTGATGTCCATTTGTCATTTTCATTTTTTTTTTCCATTTTAGCTTGAAAACTACTTCTCTAGTCTCAAAAATCCAAAACTCAGGGTAAGTGATTGTTGTTGTCAACAAATCTTGTTCCTCCAAAGAAGAAAATAAAATAGTGAAGGCCTTAGATATTACTCCTTCTGATTTTGGAAGCTTTTGTTTTCCTGTAAGATAACGAAGTAGGCCTAGCTCTTCCGTGTCCATAGAATTGCATCAACTTGCATGCCTGTTACAGTTCTGGGATGGCACAGAAAAAACAGCAAAATATGGAGCTTGCCATCCTTTGAATACCTGTACCTGGCAGTTACATTTTTGCTATTAAGAGCATTCATTTTAAAATTAGGAGGAAAGATGAACAAATCTTTAAAAGTAATGATACATAGGAAAGTATTACTTGTATATCTTGCATATAAGTCATCATGATGAATACAGATGTATTCATTTCCTTAAATAATACTAAGATGTTTTGGATTCAGAAGTCCAGGAATGTCACTGTTGCTTTCAATAGAGTCTGGATAAAGATTAGTGACTAATATATATTGCATGGCGGATCACAAGAGTGCAATTTAATTCAACTTTCTGTTCTAAAGATTCTTGAATAACAGTAAGAGGTTAATCTAGAGTCTTTGTGCCCTCCTCAGTTACCTTGGGGACAGTACGGTATTTCACCCACTCAACTATTTCCTTTATTTTATTTTCCACAGGAAGAACAAGAGGCAGCTAGACGTCGACAACAAAGAGAAAACAAGAGTAACACAACAACTCCAACAAAAGTCCAAGAAAACAAGGTCTGATTCTAATTAAGGCTTCCTTACATGTCATTATTTACTGGTAACCTGTATATAAATCACATAAACACATACACAAAATTTTACAGAAAAGAATCTAGAGTAATACCTCCATTAGGGGTAAATGATACAGATCAGTTCTCAAAACTTCAGTGGATACATTTCAGTTAATAGCTAGTTGTGTCATCTGCTTTCCGTTAGAAGTAAGCTCCTATCCCAACTGGAATCGTGAGAGCTGCTTTTGAAAACATGATAAAACTACTTTAGTTTGTGTGCAACATTTTTTGTTGCCAACAATGAATGATGATAATCTTCAGGATTCCAGACCTAAGAATGCCAGGGGAATGACTCCTGGGATTTTCTTCCTAGCATAGCAGGCATTCCTATTAAATTGCAGTTCTTCCAGAGTTCCAACAGTAGAATAATGACGTGGTTGATAAGATGCTCTGGAAAGAGACAGAAGAGATGTGATGACAGAATAGATGGGTGAACAATAATTCAGTGCAGGTTGTCCTTGACTTATGAACACAGTTGTGACTGTTGCTAAGCAGAGGAGTTGTTAAGTGGGTTGTACCCAATTTTACAACCTTTTCTTGTCACTGTTGTAAGTGAATCTCTGGAGTTGTTTAGGGAATTACATGGTGGTTAAATGAATCCAGCTTCCTACATTAACTCTGCTTGTCGGAAAACAGCTGAAAAGGTTGCAAAAGGTGATCACATGATCCCAACATGCTTCAATTGTAAATACATATGGCACCCGAATTTTGATCAAATGACCGTGGGATGCTGTGAGGGTCGTAAGTGTGAGGATCGATTGTAAGTCGCCATTCTAAATTTGAATGATTGTTAAATTATCGGTTGTAAGACAAGGACCACCTGTATTTGTGGCAAGCCCACTCTCATTGCCAGCCAATTTGAAGCTCTAGGAATTATTAGATTACAATATTGGCTATGGAGGATGGAGGGGTTTAACATCATAATGCATGTCTTTAGAGCAGTATTCCCCAATCACATGTTCTTCAGAAGTGCAAGGCTTAGGATTGATTGAGGTATTATTGATTTGTAGTTCAATGGATCCAGAGGCTGTATTAAAGATCAAGCCACCCAGTTCCCTGTTTCATAGATAATTGCTCTAAGCCAGTGATGGTTAACCTTTTGGGTGCCAAGTGCTGCCCAAAGCGCGCACTCGCGAATGCATGCGTGCATGCCTGAACCTCCCAAAATACAATACGAACGCCCCCCCCTGCATGCACCACATGCATGGGCAGCAGAGACCCGAAGACCAACTGGCCAGCAGGAGAAGCATGCATACATGCATGGTGCAGCTGGGCTGGGGCGATGGCTCGCATGCCTGTAGAGAGGGCTCTGCATGCCTCCTGTGGTATGCGTGCCATAGGTTCACTATCACAGCTCTAAGCCATATATATATATGAAGAACGGTTGCAGGAACTGGTTATGTCTAGTTTAATGAAAAGAAGGACTAGGGGAGACATGGTATCAGTCTTCCAATATCTCAGGAGTTGGCACAAAGAAGAGGGAGTCAAACTATTCTCCAAGGCATCTGAGGGCAGGACAGGAAGCAATGGGTGGAAACTGATCAAGACGAGAAGCAACTTAGAACTAAGGAGAAATTTCCTGACAATTAGAACAATTAATCAGTGGAACAGCTTGCCTCCCGAAGTTGTGAATGCCCCAACNAGCTGCATTCACACATGCAACTTAAATTAAGGGAGCAATTTCTGGTTTGGCACATCACCTCGAAGTCTCAGAATGGGACAATTTGCCAATTTGCCACAGCCAATTTTCCATGGCCAACTCACTGCGGAACAATTTAACATTTCTATTGAAGTATTTAAAACAAATAAAAATTATTTTAATTTTTGCCATTCACATTTCATTCTTCTGTCCCTCCTTTTGCATCCTTCCGCTGCATTTTAGATTCTTCCTTCCTTCCTTCCTTCCTTCCTTCCTTCCTTCCTTCCTTCCTTCCTTCCTTCCCTTCTCATTCTCCTCATTTCTTCCTTCCTCAATTTTTGTCTTCCTTCCTTCCCTTCCTTCCTCCCTTCCATCTTTCTTTCTTTATTCCTCCCTTCATTCCATCTTCCTTCCTTTTTCCTTCTCCTTCTCTCCTCCTTCCTTCCTTCCTCAATTTTTGTCTTCCTTCCTCCCTCCCTCCTTCCCATCTTTCTTTCTGTCTCCCTCCCTTCCATCTTCCTTCTTTCCCTTCTCTTCTCATTAGTTCTTCAATTTTTGTCTCCCTCCCTCCCATCTTTCTTTCTTTTCCTCCCTCCCTTCCATCTTTCTTTCTTCCTCTATCCCATCTTCCTTCAAGGAAGGAAGGAAGGAAGGAAGGAAGGAAGGAAGGAAGGAAGGAAGGAAGGAAAAGGATAAAGGAAGAAATAGGAAGGAAGAAAGAGAAAGAAAAGGAAAGAAGTAGAAACAGAGGGAAGAAGAAAGAAAGAAAAAAGAAAGATGGAAGGAAGGAGGAAGAAAAAAGGAAGGAAGGAAGCAGGGAGAAGGAATGAAAAGAAAGGGAAAGGAAGAAAGAAGATTCAAGAAGGAAAGAAGGGAGGGAGGGAGGGAAGGAGGACGGAGATGGAATGAAAACAAAGGGAAAGGGAAAGGAAGAAAAAAGTGAAAAAGAAGGAAGGAAGAAAAGAAAGAAAAAGAAAGAAGTAAGTAAGAGATGGA